CCCCAAAACCCCAAAACCCCAAAACCCCAAAACCCCTTAATAGATAATTTCAATTGAAATTACTGAAGTTTCACCAATTGTAAAATTTACCCACTGTTGTCCAATCAAAGGGTTTTAATGCTCAAAGTTTGAAGATTAGGAAGCTAAGAAAGAAGAGATCGTTGGCATTGTATCCTCTGAGAGCATCAAATCTGAAGGGAGAAGCAACACTCCATCTATGATATATCCACCGATTCCATTTAGGTCATTATGGAACCATTTTACAGTGATGTTTATTCTAGAGGCTGAAGAGTATGGGGTTAAATCGAGGTCTCACAATTTTTCGTTGAAGAAATCTTGAGATTTTTCTATAAATTAAGTTTAGATATATTTTGTAATCTTTGTCTAACCTTCTAATACGGTACCTTTTAATAGTTTAGGGAACTTTGGTTCTTTATGCAGATCCTCTGTGGTCTCAATTTCTAAGACCATTTAAGATATCAAAGATACCTGACTCATCTTCTAAGATTGACACTGCTTCAACTTTCACATCAACGTTCAAGCGCCCTCAAATTCCATATGGGCTTGTTATTAAATGCCTAACAAACATAGAGTATCTATGGAGATTAGTTGGGGCTAAATACTTTCCTGGGATCACATCATGTATCTTTAAATATGGGTCATACCAACAAACATGGGATAGCTCTGGCATTTCAGGAGTAAAAATAGAGTCAGGCCTGTAAGCTTTTATATGTAATACCTACAATCGATCAGTTAAAAAAATAAAAGAAAGGAGTTATCATAAAGCTTATTCAAAATAATGATCCTCTGTGAGAAATTTTACAACTTAGTGATAAAAGATATAACTTTGTTTTTAAGTAGTAAGAAAAATTGAGCTTATGGAAAAGTTTAAAGATATTTGAACGATCGCTTTGACTTACCTATAATCGTTAGTCCAAGCCCATCCTCCCCTAAGCTCAGCAAGAGTGGCAACCTGGTGGTTCCCACAGAACATCCTAAATGTATTTGGAAAGTCTTTAAGTCTATACATCTGATTGGTTTTATAAAGAAGATCTTCATTTTCGTGCAAAACATGGAACTTATCTTCAGGTTCCTTTTGCTCTTTGTCTTTAATCTCCGCAGTACATTTACTGATATTAATCCCATATCTCTCTTCATAATTTTTAAACCTATTCTTCCATATCCTCTCATACTCCTCCACACATTCCTTCGCAAACCTACTACACGCCTTGAACCTCGCCATTGCTACAAATCTCACCTCCAAACTTACTCTTAAAGTCCAAAAACTGTGTAAGCACATACTGTACCACCATTTTTCCTTCTCAAAACAGCTGATTGCCTAATATCTCCATTTTCTCTATATCTCTCAATAATTAATAACAATTTGGGGTTTTGGGGTTTTGGGGTTTTGGGGTTTTGGGG